TGTGTCTCCTTTTCTCTCATTAGAACGAAAGTTATTCAGGGTGATTCGTTTTTTTTTTTGCGGACTGTACATGCTATATTAATAATAAAAATATTTCAAAAGTTGCATTTTACTCTAAAATGATGGACTTTTTAGAATAATTCATGTGTTAATATTTTTTAAACTAAAATAATAATAATAATATTTTGAGTAAAGAACTTAAACTAGATACTATAAAATATTTATTTTTAGAAAAATTACCTAATGTTTTGTCTTATTTTTGAAGTTGTTTGGTTAGAACACCGATAGTTATAAGTAAGCATTTCAAAGTGCAAAATAAATAGCCAAGGGTTAAAAAAATAACGATTTTCCCCACCACCCTTTTCGCCAAGAAAAAAAAAGCCTTTTTGTGGTTACAAAAAATTGAAGTGCATTGTTGAAAATAATTAATAAACTAGATATCCAGGTGTCAATAAATTAGAACATCAAATGCTGTACCTGGCATTAAATATCCAATTATTCCACAGAAATATTCAGGTTAATAACAATAAAATAACAACAGGTTAATATCAACAAGCAACAAACTTTATAACACGAAATAACACTGCGGTATATATTTTTAATTATATGCTTGTAAAAGAAAATTTCTTAGCATTTAATTTACTTTTTCTTGGCATTTCTTTTCAAAGTAAAAGGAAAAAAAGAGAGATAAAAACGAATATTGCTTATTTTTCCAGCACTAACAAAACCTCTTATTTAATAATGCTTTTAGATAATATAAAAAATAGTAAAAAAAAAAAAAAATTCTATAATATTTGTTATTGCTTGAACTTGGATGTGAGAAGTTGTAACCAAGGTAAAATGTTCATTATAAAAGTAAATTTTGCAACTGAACTCTTTTTTGCAACTCTATGTTATGCCCTTCATTGCTCAATTATATTAAATAATTTTAGCAGGTTCACATGTCTTTTTTTTTTTTTTTGCTTTTTGTGACGTGTCTAAATGTAACAAAAAAATTAATTTGATTTTCAGATGTTTGGCACCAGGGAGAACCTCGGAATATTGTGCCAATCCAAAAAAATTTACTTAGACGGAACATTTAAAATGGCACTGAAGCTTTTTTGCCAGCTTTATACCATTCATGGTACATACATGGGTAAAATATTCCCATTAATCTACGGCCTATTGCCTGATAAGACGAAACACACGTATTTACGTTTGTTTCAGCACATCAGCAACCAGGCTTGGATTAATGGGCATATTTTTGATCCAAAATGTGCCATGATGGATTTTGAAGCTGGCGCAATAAATGCTTTGAAAGTTAAACCATCCCTTGGATAGCGATTAAAGGGTGTTATTTTCACTATTCCCAGTCGATTTGGAGGAAGGTAACTAGGAAGGATAATATTGAGTCTTAATGTTATGCAACATTTACTAAATTAAGTTAAAATTAAATAAATTAAAATTAATTAAATTGAAAGATAGGTATTTTTATTTGTTGACGAAACTTATAATAATTTAAATAGGAAACTGTTCTTATCTCTATATATTAAGTTTTTTTCCCTATATATTTTGAAACTTGAAGTTTCTAAGTTTTACTGAATTTGGGCAGCAAAACAAAATGCAATGCAAACTTAAAAGTAATAAAAACAATGTCTAAAAAAGCTAAATAATAAGCTAAGTCTTATAATTTCTGTCTTCTTATATTTATTTTCCTCTTTATCTTATAATTTTTAAACAACATGTAAGTTTAAGTTGTACACCCAAAACAGCGCTACAGATTTTTAAATAGAAAGATTGTATATTAATTTTGTTTAAATAATTTTCATTTTCCATAGCAGATAAAAAATGGGACAAGATTCTAAATAAATTAGTAATCCTATTCCCTCATTAATTGTGTAATAAATTTTTCCAAGTTATCTTCAAGTTAATTTGAATTAAAGCCTAGCTGGTTATTTAATTGTTTTGTAATTAGTTGCATCTGTCCTATATAAATATTTTCAAATTATTAAGAAAATTATTTTTTATGCCGAAGTTATAAATTTAAGATCTTTGATTATTATTTTTTTTTCTTTTAATACTTTAAGTTATTCCATTTTACTACTTTATTAATACTATGATTTTGATTTTCAAACAGAAAAATTTTGAAAGCAATTCTACTTCAAATTATAATTAATAGAACTGCAGCATTTTTTTAAATTTAAGCAAACAGGTTTATTTATATTTGCTTAAGTTTCATAAAAATTAATTTATGATACGATTAAATCTGTACAATACTATCTGCAGCTAATGAAGCTAGCACACATTAAAAATTTAAATTACTCATTATTTTATTAACATTTGTAAAAAAAAAATTCTATACCACAGTTAGCCCAGACGAAATGTGGAATGTAATTATAATAATTTTAGAAAAGGTTTTGTAATGTCAATTTTCTTAAAATAAATGCTCGAAATCCTCTTAATTACTTTGATTTTACAGTATTTAAGAAATCAATGGCTAAAGCATGAAATAATTATTGCTGATTCGCATAATTTTAATATTCGATCATATTAAACTTTCAAATTCTATTATTAAAATTTTTGCAATTTTAAGAAAAATTTTATTATTATAAAAGTTTTAGAAAATCATCACTTTCAAAAAAAATAAAAATCAATTT